TTTTAAAGAATTTTAAATATTTTAATGAAAATATTATAGTAATGAAAAAAAACTAAATTTATAATATAATTTATAAAATTTTATGATTGCGGTTAAATAAACTTTTCGCCATGATTTACGGAAGAAACATGTTTCAGCGTAAAGAAAATTTGGAATTATAGAATAAATAACATATTGTTGCATATAAATGTTATATTCAACCTTAGTACTACAAAATGGAGACAGCAAAAACAATTAAATTGTGTTAATTTGCTTGTGAATGAGGTATGTTGAAATTTTATTTATTACTATTCTGCCTAAATTTCCTTGTTTGTGAATTCCTTTGTTTATGTTATACATAATTTCTAATTACTCAGTTGAAGCAAAGGAGACATGCATTCGAGAAACGTGTGACAACCAAGTCCAACAGTGAGACAGTTCGTAAGTTTGTTAATGTTTTACTTAAGTATTTATGATTATTGAATGTTATAATATTAAAAAATTTTTTTAATAACGGTGAAAAATGTTTTTTTAGACAATTCTTAATAAAGTTTTATTGATAAAACGCTATTTTTAATGATTTTTTTTCTTTTATTACTATTGCAAAAATTCTAAAATTATATGTGTAGGAAACTTACTTTTATAAGAAAGTAATCAATTATTTTATATATATTTGTTCAAATAACACAGTTTTCGACATTCTATTGGAAGCATGTCATAAAGGAAGATTAACTCAACAAGAACTTTGGGATCATATGGTTACAATGTTACTCGCAGTACGTATTTATATTTCTACATCCAAACTATATGTAGACGTATAATAAAACAGGTTTTTATTTACGTAGGCCACTGACACTACTGCCGTCACAATAAATTTTGTGATTTTTATGCTCGCAAATTTCCCAGAAGTACAAGTACGTAGAGATTAAAGTTATTGAAATACAATACAACTTATTAACTTACTTAATACATATATAAGACTTACAAATAATGTTATTTCAAGTTAATAACTACCCTGATAGCCAAGCATGTTTTGCAAAATCAAGCAACTTAATGCTGAGCATGAATTTTCGACTAGTTGCTGTATATTTGTTAAAAACGTAATGCATAGTCATACGTATTCAACAACACGGGAGCAGATTTGAAACATTTCGTGTCAGCAGATTCAGAGCAACCGGAGAGCAACTGTTGCTCATTTTGTTGCCAACAAAATGACTTCTATTCATGGAAAACATTTTGCTTTGTCATTCATTTTCGACAACATAAGAGCAACATGACGGTGATAGAAAAAGATAATGATGTCTGTGCTTTTGTCGTATATTTGTTAAAAACTATTTAAATATATTAATTTGTTAAAAACTGTTTAAATATGTTAATTGTGCCTTGTAACCAATATAAAATGTCGAAAATGACCTATCTTTGTGTATGTGTGTATGTGTGTTTGCGCGAGTGCGTGCAATTTAATAAATAAATAAGTGATACATCGACGATACTTGTGGCAAATTAACACAGCTTTACCTATAAATATTGCGGCAAGGTATATACAGGGTGTCCCATTTAACTTGAGACAACTAATAATTTCGAAAAATAATTGTACGAAAAAATGTCCCAAATAAACTTTTTAATATTATCAAGGGGGACGTCTGCCTGTGTGAAAATTAACCCGCCCCCATCGCCCCTTAGGGGTAGGGCGGGTGGCAACTTTGAAATTTCAAATGAGAACCCCCATTTTTATTGCAGATTCGGATTCCTTGGAAAAAAATACGTAAGTTTTGTCCGAGACATTTTTTCGAATCGTGATAGATGGCGCTGTAATCAGTGAAAATTAGTTTTTGCCATTTTCTCTCACAATTGGGGTGCTTTATTTCGGTGAGTTCCCTTGCCTCTCACTATTCAATTACAATAAATGCTCAAAATGATGACCTTCCATTTCGATGCATTTATTAACTCGAGCTTGGAATGCTTGTACATATGTAGAAAGTGTATCTGGCGTTATTTGTGCGCAAGCATATCTAATACGTTCCACCATGTTTTCTCGAGTATTTGGTATTTCTGTATACACTTTTTCTTTAAGGTAACATAAAAATTATTTCAACTTTCAAAATTATTTCAAAATTATTTCAACTTTCTCCTCTAAAGATAAATAATCCATTATTATTGCTGAAATAAAGAACGCGTCCGTAAAAAAACAAGTAGCTAGCGTACATATTACTGAAATTTACTTGACTTGAAATTTAAAGAATCCAGTTATTGAAGAATTGTTCTGACTTAATTTCTTTCATTTATTTTGTTTCTCCTTTTCAGTATTTTCAGTATTTCAGAAATTTAATACATATGTAGATGCCTCATAGTTTTGGATTATTTATCTTTTAGAGGAGAA